GGGATGAAGATAGAATTATTGAGGTAAAATTGCAGTGTGAAGATATTATAAACAAAAAATCCTTTGTAGTTAAAGTTAATTTTACCTCAAATAATCTAAATACTGTAATTGACTAAAACAAATAAGTATAAAATGGTATAAATAATACTGAAATTTATAAAAAACTGTTCCTCCTTTGATCACTTGGCACTGTGAATAATGCACTCCATGTTGGGGATCTGGAAATGTATATTAGCATCAAAGAAAGATGTACCAAAACATCATACATGCTTTTCTTCCTCCACTAGTCTATCCTGTCTCACTAGTTCCCATCCGAAGTTATTTTAGAACGGGGAGGAAAGGTTCAGAGAATTTGGAGAAGAAGGAATATTATAAGGGTTAGGTTGGGGTTAGGTAAGGTGCTGGCCTAAAAACCCGGAGACTGAGTTGTAGGCCTCCCTTAGGCATGAAAGCCGGCTGGGTGACTTTGGGCCAGTCACTCTCTCAGCCCAACCCACCTCACAGTGTTGTTGTTGTGGGAAAAAATAGGAGGCAGGAATATTAAGTATGTTCATCACCTTGAGTTATATATATATTAAAAGGGGTGATTAATAATAATAATAATAATGACTCGATAGGTAGATAAAATGCCAAATCCAGTCTAAACATCTGGCTGACTGTGCGACCAACAATAATAGCCAAATACCATAAGCAAAGGCATGAGTGCCCCATTAAAGAAAATCTCCCCCAAATCTCACATTCTTGCCTACTGAGATCTCAAGTGTGAATTCATCTTACAAGATTTTGACCATTAAAAATAATTAAAGTACTGAATGTAAAAAACCATTTGAATTGGGTGTCCTTAGAAAGTGTAAGGATGCTGCAGGTGCAACACTGTTAACCCCTGGATTACACTGTCCAAGGTCCTCACACAGCACTTCACAAGACTACTGTTGTCAGCCTTCTGGGGATCATGCAACTCATTCTGTTAGAAGTCCCATCCTCCTACTGTTATCATAAGAAATCATCTTACAACGTTCAACATGCAAAATTCATTATAGGTTTCTATCCTGACATGCTATTAAAAATACTTTGATAGGACCTGCATAGAAGTTCCCAGGGGACTCACCAGACCCCATTCACAAACTATATTTGTAGCATTCCCTTAACATAGTGCCCTCCATAGAGGTCAGATGGCATCAAAATCCTTAGGTGGCATGACTTTTGACTCTCAGTGGATCAATTCCACCCCTTTTTATTAGTATAATATTTAACAGTGACCACTGTTTTTTAATGCAGTTGTTTGTTTTAGGCAGAACAACAACATTAGCTCCTTTTATGTAAAGTAAATCCTGATGCAAAATTTTAACCATGAAAAAAGGTTATGAGATATGCATGAATATTTAAACGAATAGATTTTGAACAGGAGAATGCTCAATGGTCTGGGTATTTCATAGACAGCAACCAGGGAGAAAACATTTAAATGATCCAGTTTGTTGCATCTATCACCAAGGCACAGCTTAGCAGAGCCACTAATGCTTTACCTTTCATTATATGGGATTACATCAAGCTAGAAGCATGCGAGGGTACATGAATTCTTAGCAGAGAGCACAAAGCATTACTAATATGCCTCTTTCACTCTGCAGTGTAAAACAGAGAATGGCACAGAAGCAAAGGCATGGCTAGAGCTTAGCTATTGGCTATTAGTGATCTCACATCCCCACTCATCCATTTGCTACTCCTTTGCTGGAAAACACCGTGTGCATTCAACTTGGGTAAGGGGGGGTGGGGGAGAGAGAGAGAGAGACTGAGATTTATACTCTTTTGGAGGGCCACAAATGGTTTGAGTAACCTTGTTTTTGGAACACTTCCCAGGAATAAATTGTTGCTGCTTTAAAAAGTATGTGTTCTGTGATTTAATACATGAAATATAAACAGCAACATAAACTGCAGGTACAAATTTTCTACACTGTATAAAAGTTCATTTCTGAGTGCTTCCTCACAAGAGCGTGAAAACAAGGGATCAGGAAAGCTGGGATTGAGGAGCTGGAACAACCAATGTGTTACTACAGTGTTGTCCAAACTTGGCCATTTTAAGATGAGTGGACTTCAACCCCCAGAATTCCCCAGCCAGCCATGCTGGCTGGGGAATT